AAAAAATTCTTTTGGGCATTGCATGTGATGATTAATTTGCTTTTGAAGGCCCTAACTGATATTCTCCCTTATAACTTACCATTTGGACCTTAAGTCTTAGGCTGGTCAATATATCCAAGTCAACTGTATTAAAATAGTCATTAATTATTTATAAAGGGTGGAGAGTTTCTCCATTTCTTTATTTCCATTTCCTTTCACTTCCTCCATCTCAACCATTATATAAATGGTTGAGATGGAAGAAGTGAAGGGAAAAGAAGATAAAGAAAGAGAGAGGTCTCTCTCCTCTCTATGAAAAATAATTTAATGTTAGCGTTTTTGAGAAGTTAAAAGGTTAATATAAACGGTTGAGATGGGGGAAGTAAAAGAAAAAAGAGATAAAGAAAGAGAGAGGTCCTTCACATAGTTTATTATTAGTGAGGTGTCAAAAAGCTGATCTCCCTCTCTATACATGCCCCGACGCGCGATGCGTTTGATAAGTTCACATTTGCTCTAGTGGTGTTACTATTTCTTTACACTAACGAAACAAATAAGTTTGGGAAAGTGAAATAATGCAATCTTGGACTGGATTCTGAACTTTATGGTTATAATGGTAGAAGATTGGAGGATAAAAGGGGTTGATGGTGTTGGAGTCTGATACCTTTTTCTGCTAATTTTCATGGGAGAAATGCTTATTACTTAATTTCGGGAAATTTTAGTTGTAAAGGCACCACAATTGCAGCCTTAACTCTGCATTACTTGTCCTTTGTGTCTGTCAGGCCTGCGTACGTGTCTCACATTCATAGAGAGCGAGAGAGGGAGAGGCAGAGAGAGTATGACAATCACAAAGGCAGGCTTCCACGTGCATGAGATATACAAATCAGAAAAATAAAGAAGGCGGGACCAGGCTAGTTGGTTTGCATGCATATACATAAATATATTAATGCATCCCAGTAGTGTGAGGGTCAAAAAGCACATAGTTTCCATCCCCACACGAACACTGCAATCTGCAAAGGATATGTGGCCCTCTCTCTGGCCGCAATCATTTTTTAATTATGTGTCATGTATTCTTCTTAGCGGTCAACCCCTTGTTGATTCCATGTCCCCATGATTTATTCATCACTCGCTCTTGACCACGTCCGCGTTTAACATTTTAGATGTACACATATAGGATGTTTTTGTACAAAGCAATCAAGTTCACGCTGGCATGCGCCTGCATGTCTTTCTACTTACTTAATTGGAACTGGATTCTGCACATACCATCAGTTTATAATTTCATTTTTTTTCCTTTAAATTTAAGATGTATTCAAAAATATTTGATTTGTCTAATAAGACAACGTCATTGTTTGAAGTTAATTGTATGCTTTTTTGTTTTTAAAATTTTGTCATAATTTTCTATGTGCTAAAAATCCAGCAATGTACGGGTTTTTTTTTTTCCAATTTTCTGTAAAGCTTTCTTGTTTATATATATATATATATATATATTCAAAGCTTTAAAAAAATTGGTGATATTTAATACATAATTTACATTTCCCAACGTGTTAATTGAAACGCGCTTAGTCTAACATATCAATTGATAATTATTAACTATTGCATTTCTAATTTCATTCTTTTCAATTATGGTGCAACTCCCTTTATTGTTGATTTTTTTATTGAACGTAAATTTTGTTCAAATTTTCTAAAAAATATGGATATAAATATATATTTAAATTAATTGATACAATTCTATTGAATATCTTTCTATTAGAAGACATTGTTACAACTTTCTGTTAGTATCTCTTTGGCAACGTTACCTGAAATATTTCTTGTATCTTAAAATTGAATATATATATCTAAACAAATCTTCATTGTATCTAACAAAACAACTTTATTACTTAATTTTTTTTGGTATCCAGACTTTTAATTTCTTGCTTGCAGCCTCTTATCTCATGTAGTTATAGTTAGACAGTGATGTCTTTGCTTGAAGCCATATGATAAATAAAATTTGATATAGGTATTAGTTATCATATTTGTCTTGCTATTTCTTGAGGTCTGAAACATTTTGTTGTTATAATTGGCAGACTTTTGAAACTATAAAGATATGTCTAGGGTGCAGTGGATATGTGAAAAATGCAAGGACATTTTTTTACAATGTTATAGTTACGAGTTCAACAATAATAAAAGTTTGGTGAGCTACATAATGTAACCTCTCCTCATATCAAACTGTGATCCCACCACATGTTTGATATAAAGAGGGGTTAACTTAATTACCACATCATTATATCAAACTGAAATCAAGTAAATTATTTAAAAGTGCTTGAGAATTGAAGACTTCTTTATTAAAATCATTTAAAAATCAAATACATATTATACATTGCACAACATAAGACATACAACTGCATTCATCACACCAAACACATGCTTTATCATAAGAGATATAAGGTCAGAAGTTGGGCAGTGCATCGTGGCATACACTACATAGGTTGCAACATGCGGCATAAAGCCATAGGCTCCCATTCTATGCCATGCACCATAACGCACGTCATAGAATTTTATTATCATATGACAGTTGGCTGATGTGAACTTTTAACTTACGCTATTTTCACATATAATGTTCAATTGGAGTAATTTAAATGCCCACACAAAGCTTATTTTATAAGCTAACTAATGAGAAAAGTTTGGATGTGATCTAACAGTATGATCTAAATTTAAACACTCGCGTAAAAAAAGATACTTTTTCTAAAAATTTTATGCACCAAGGTGTTCAAATCATACACTTTATCTCATTAAGCCATTTTAGGCTTAGAACCAAGTCTAAAAGGACTATTCACACCTGATTGACTAACATTCATATCATATATACTCATAAATTGAGATTTAGCCCTTTATTCATTCATTTACCTAAATAAGGGCTATTTTACAATATCACTACAATATATACCCTTGGCCAATTTCTCACACAATCCACATATATTTATTATGTACACATTTACTACATATTCACAACCAAATATTAGCCCTATGCCATATAATTCACTGCATAACACACATATACTCACATGCGGGGCTAAGATTTATAAAATCACTACGTCACAGTTCAAAACATGCAAACGACATCTTATAACAACTTAAATCATTTACAGGTATACAAGGATTAAATTCATTACATAAGCTCTGAAATCATGCGGCAATAGTGCAACTACGCTCGTCTTATGTCTTTCCCTTCATAAATATCATTTTCAACATAGATCACTACTATTAGCATAGTCGTTACCATCCGAACCTCTGAATCACCCCGACTGAAACCATAGGCTCATATTAGGCCAACTCACACTCATTGACCTTAGTATATTTTTAGTAGTAGAATCAACCAGTCAAAGGTTTTCTATCTCATTTTCAAACTACGGTTTCCCCTTTCACACAATGATCAGGGTGTCGTTATTCTAACACCTCATCATACAAATGCTAATGAGATTTAATCTCTAACACCGTACCCTGCATGGGCACTAAAGAGATAATCTCCACCACTACACCTAAATAGGCACTAAGAAGATAAATTTTTCAACACCGCACCCCGTCGAGCACTAAGAAGAATAATGTCATATGAACTTCTCACTACTTCTCCTTATAGGTAAACTCTCATTTCCTGTGATCATGCTTTCATACCAATCACTTGTTTGTATTCAAATTATATATAGTGTATAATTGTATATTTCCATCAATTTGCTTAATTGAAGTCCTTTCCGTGGAATAATCATGCATTGTCTTAAAACATGCATAATTTAAAAGAATTTCATATAATAGCTATAATACTCTCAAATATTTGCATTAGATAGTTAAATATAATAAGTTATTTGGTTACATCAACCCTTCTATCACAAGAAATGTTACCCATAATTTTCTCAACCACTAATGCTTCCCTGCACATTCCTTTTCTTAGTCTATACACGTAACACACAAATCTACATACAATTGGCACTATTAGTCAATTGATTAAATTGACTAAAAGTACTAATTATTATTGAAAATCACATTTAGCAATTATTTCCCTTTCACTTAATCAATTTAGGTTCTTCATAACCCAATTATCCCATTCTATCATTTCTATCAACTCTAACACACTTCCTCCTCAATTTCTATTCTCATTTCTTTCTAGCTTAGGTTGAATCAAGCATACTGCCGCATAGCTTTATTGTTTAATCCTAAACTAGTTGCAAAACTCTAATTTAATTTTCAAGAACCTTTTTCTATACAAAAGGGTAAGAAACAAACTCTTAAAATTCTCTAATTCTTTATAACATATACTAAAAGAAATCATAATAGAATCGAAGTTAAGGGTGATACAAAATTTACCCGATAAGCTATCAGATGAAAATGTCTTCCAATGCTCCAAGACTACTTGCCCTAGTAGAGAAATGGCCTCTTCTCCTTGTGAATACCGTATTTTGTCCGGACTTTTTTTTAATAATAAAATCAAAAAAATATAAAATAAAATAATAATAAATAATAATATAAAAATGAAATTTAATCCCTTTTTAAGATCATATTTTCAAGAAGTAATAATAATGATAATTTAACAAAATCAAAAAGAAAGGTTAAATCGTGAAAGAAGAAAATCTCTCCCAAATTATCCCAATCATTCAAGAATATTGAGAGTCTACTTTTGAGAGTTAACTTTTATCTCCTCAATCCTATTTTCATTTAAATACATATCTTATATGTGTGTGTGTGGGTATTAATCAGAACCATTAATCAAAAGATAAAAAAACAGAGAAAAAGCTGGACAAAACGCTGATAGAGTCAGCGTTTCATCACGGACAGTCAGGCACACACGAGCGGAAACTGCACACACACACACACGAGAGAACAGAAGGAAAAAGCACAGCAAAGACATGTAGAAACAACAAAGAAACACAGGCACAGAGACGCAGAAACAAAAACAAGCACACACTTTCGGCCATGCAGCAGGAAAAAGGACAGAAACAGCAGAACACACGAACACATGAGCCACGGACGCCGAAAGAACCAGAGGCAACAGACACGAAATGCAGAAGAAGCCAAACAGAGCAGGAAGAATAGCAAGCAACCGGAACACGTACGCTTATGCTTTCGGCTGGCAGGAGAAAAGAAACAGAACCAGGGACAAACGCATGCATGAAGGAAACGGCACAGCAGAGAAAGCAGATGGGACGGCACAGAAAATAGAGACAAACGCAGAAGAAACAGAGTAGGAGAGTAATGATTCACGTTGTCCATTCTCTATATAAGGAGAAGACGGGAACAGCGAGAAGGGGGGAAGCAACGTAAAAAAAATATACAGAGGAGAGAGAGGACCGGAAGACGTGAAACAGAGGCTGAGACGGAGGAGAGAGGACGTGGCGGAGGAGCTTTTCTTTCCGAAAAGCTGAGAAGGAAACGAGGGAGGCCAGAAGCTGAACGAAAAAGGATAGAGACGGAGAGAGGTGAAATGGAGGCTGAGGGAGAAAGGCTATTCCGGCCGGAACAAAGTAGAGGAAACGAAGAAGAGGAGTGCGTTTTTTTTGGCTGGAGAAAGGAAGGAGAAACGTACGGAAGAAACAGAAAACAGAGCACGAAAGGAAAAGAAGAGAAGAGGCGGAGAGGAGAAAGAAGAAACAGAAACAGAGAGGAGAAAGAAGAGGCTGAGACAGATCTGGACGTCCCATACGCGCAGGTTCTTGCTTCTGAATCCAAAATATACGTGTTTAATTTCTGTTTACTATTCCAAAATGGATTTCATGTTTAAATGTTTTGTCTCATATTTTTCAGCTCCCAAGTGATTTCATTGCAATTGTCATATTTTTTTTAAGAAAAGAGAGTTTGAAAAAGAAATAATAGAGAAATTGCAAATGATAATTCTTGTTTCCTATCATAGCTAAGCTAAATTTGATTATTAGGTACAATTTCATTTCAAATACAGAATTAGTGCAATTATTAGGCGAGATCTTTAAATGTGTATATTAACATATATGAGCATTATTTTTTTTATCTCCATTAATTCTAAGGTCCTTTACTTGTCAATAATATTGTTACACTCATACCGTATGACACTTTCTATCCACATGTACAATTGTATAAAAGATTAAGAGGAGAGAATTCAATTCTCATCCAAAAAAAAAAACAAATGGATAAGAGAAGGTTTCTTGTATTTTATTAACTTGCAGTGTGAGATTTTAAGAATTTTCACAGGCATTTAAAGTGATCTTATACCGTGTAAATCAATAAGATTTCGCAGGTATAGAGATCCAATTTATATGTACAATCAATGGTTTCAATGACCAACCGTTAAAACCAACTGTCTTTTTATAATCTAAATAATCCATTTAAGTTCCATGTAAGATTACGAGAATCTTTGTAGGGACTTAAATTAATCATATTATCGTGTGGGATAATAAATCCTCACAGATATAGTGATCATCCATTTTTATAATAAAAAAATAATTTTTGTAAATAATCATATAGTATACAATTTAAGAAACTTAATTGACCAAATTAATATATTTAAATTGTAACCATATTTACCAATTATATCTTTTAGTCATGTGAGATTTTTGAATCTCCATAGACTTCTAAGATCATCGTATTATCGTGTGAGTCAATAAGACTCTGCAGATATAACGATTTAGTTTTTAAAATATATATACATATATATTATATAATTAATTAAATCAATTAATTAAATTTAATTCCTGTATCGTGTGAGATTTTAGGATCTCCGTAGATATTTAAGATAATCATATTACTGTATAAGTCAATAAGGCTTTGCAGGTATGATGATTAAAATTCTTCAAAACATGTATATACATACTTAAAATATATTTTTAATACTTAAAATGTACATAAGAATATAAATAAATAAATTAAATTGCCAAACTCTTCTATCATGTGAGATTTCAGAATCTTCGCAGATACTTAGAGCAATTGCATTACCGTATGAATCAATAAGGTTCTTCAGGTACTACAATTAAATTTCTAATCATAAAATATAAAGAAAAATAATTTTAAACCCTTTCCTTTCTTTATTCCAAAAATTCAAAAATGAAGAAAATAATTAAAATTAAATTACCTTTTGCAATTTAAAACACACATATCAAAATTTCAGAAATTATTTTATTTGCAAAATGGTGAATTATTTATAATTAATTTCTCTTCAAAAAAAATATTTTTATACCAACAACTTTTAAGCCCTAACTACGTGGACTTTAATCCCCATCACAGGGTACGTAGGCCTCAGAGTTAGATTTGAGTCAAGTCCGTCCTCCCTTGTAAATAAATAAATATTTCTCACCTAATTCCTATCATTTTTATATCAAACACATGAATATAAAAGGGATAATTAAAATAATTTTAAAACCATATTAATAGAGCACAACAAACTTCAGGTAACCGTTTCACAAACGGGTGTTGTGGGGTGCCTAACACCTTCCCCATACTCAACCGACTCCCGAACCTATCCTCTGATTTCGCAGATCACCCTTATCTTTCATTAATCGGTTTCCCGAGATTTACCTCAAAATCTTGGTGGCGACTCCTCGTTCGATCCGGTTCCCGCCGCGAAGGCCGGGACCTCCGCTCGCGCGCCGTCCGCGTCGCATTTTTTCGAGTGCGACACTCCTCTCCTTTTCGTGCTTCCCTTTCCTTCCACTCTGTTTTCCATGAGCTTCCACATACTTATTAGTCACTTTTTTGTGCTGTGCGTTGTGTGGTATAGTGAGAAAAATTATCACCATACGCATACGCTTTTTTTTCAAAACGCAATCCTTCCATTCACATCTGTTCATCCAACATTCTAATAAGTCAAAATACAAAACCTTCATCCAAAATTTTAACCGCTCATTAATTACTAATTTGCCCTTGACTCCTGACTACTTTCAAGATTAAAAAAATCAGGATGTTTAGCATATGATATAGTGATTGTTGTTGTGAATCAATTAGAATTTATATTTGAATTTCTTGAATTATAGGAGTTCTTGATGGCAATGACAAATTTTTCCTCATTAATTTATTTCAAACGGGGACATGTGCTCTAAAATATGTCAAAGTGATTTCATAGTGTTATAGCATATGCATCCTCAAAAATGCTTTTGCATTTTATTATTTTTTATTTAAAGTTTCTTAAATTGCTTGTGCAAAGCAAAGCCAAAAAGTAATTTAAAATTTGAATTATACTTTTTGTTTTGCAATGTATTGCTGTTACGGATAACTATTCAAAGGCCTTATACATTAAAAAATTATTCTTGAATCCGGAATTTGCAGCCCCATGCATCATCCTAAGACAAATAGCATTTATTTCTCTACTTTTTTTTGTAAGTCACTCCTACTAATTTTATCAATACCAATGAAAAGCATGCAAAAAAATATATAAAATTTTAAATATGTCCTTTTGTAACAACTCTAAAAAGTAATGTGATATATGTTTTTCCTTACAGGAAAAGGTTGGTATTGATAAATACCTTTCAAATATTATTTGAAGAACCACATCATGATTTCTACATAGAACCAAATAAATCTTTTATATTGTACCTTATAAATGAGATCAAAGGAAATATACTATAATAAATACTATATTATAATTTATGTCACAATTGTATTTACAAATTACATTTATGGAAAAAAATATGAATAAATAAAAAATATCTACATATTAAATCATGATTTTAAATTAAATAAATAGCATGCTTAATACTCCATCCATCCAAAATTAAAAGGCATTTTTATAAAAGATTCAATGTTCTAAAATAAAAAATACCTTGCTAAAAATAAAATTTCATTGCTAATACCTTTTCAATATAATTTTTCTCTTATATTCTCTCTTTTTGATACTCTTTTATTAATAGAGTATTAAATTACAGGCCTTTTTAAAAAAAAACAAATTATATACCTTATATACATACATATATACATACATACATACATATATATATATATATATATTTCTTTAAAAATCATACATGGAAACCACAGATCCGTCTACTACAATTCTAACAAAATTTTATACTATTCAAATTCGGTTAAAAGTGTGAAACTATAATAATATGTCGACAATATAATATATACCGCAAAATTCGACAGAACTTTTCTTTTCTTTTCTCTTTTTTTTTTGTTTCACTTTGATATAAGCATGTGATCAACTGTATCACAAAGAAAGTGATTTATACAGTAACCATTATATGATTGCTGATTACTTGATTTATTTGAATTTATTGAGTAATAAAAATTTTATTTGGTCAATTACAATTTTGACTTTTAATCACAAAATGAGTTCCTATTACTCCAATATGCTAAGCCTTAAAAATGTACTCCGGCATTCTAATGTTTTATTGAAAGGTCCTCACATTGCCCGTGTAACACACAAGGCCTATTACTAGTTTCACTTTACTTTTAGTGAATATCCATTCTCTTATTTGTCCATATCGATTATTGAGGATTTACAGAGATCGAGCCAAAATATGATTAATATTGTATACCACTAATTTGCTTGTTAAATCATATCAAACACCACAAAATATGAGTAGCCCCTACCATAACATGTACGTCCCAATAAGTGAAAATTTGAGAAGATAGCAGCTTCCATCCAATTTATAGATTCGTGGGCTTCGTTCTGTGATATACAGTGCACGTATGTTGGTCCGATCAATAATCAATGCACTTAATGATGTATCTTCTCATCCTGCTAGCTAGTAACAGTATTCAAGATAGTGGAAACTTCTAGTCAGGCATCATGCATTGGAAATATGTTTTCTACGTTCGAGGCAGTTGACTAGTTGTAACTACAACTTTCTGGCTAATATTATAAAAAAATTAACTTTTAACAGTGATAAAAATTATTGTTGATTATTTTTAGTGATGAAAAAAAATTACCATAATGTCAAGAGTTTTTTTTATTAATTTTATCTGTGATGATAACAAAAATTATTATTAAATGTATACAATCAATGATAATAAATATTGTCACAAAATATAAAATTTGTCAATGCTGAAAGTAACAATCAATGGCAGTTGTTTTGTTACCATTAAAAATTGGCATCAGCATAACAACAAATGTCGCTACAAAAAAGGTGATTCTATTGAACACTTGCCACATGACACCATATCACTTGTTACATGGCTCCACATCACCCCCTACATGTCACCTCTTCACGCTGCTTGTGCCTTCCACAGTGCTCTAGCTGATTCAAACACGGGGCCACATGAGGCAAAGGAAGAAAGGCGCTGCCTTGCCACTGAAGCTGAATGCGTTCCTCGTCCATAAATGACATTATTTTATATACACCTGTATAACAATCATTTGTTTCAAGCAATGATACGTTGGAAATGTTCAATTAATATGTAATATAAATTTAAATTATCAAAAAATTAAACTAAAAATGAAAGTAATTATAATATATAGTATTAGTGTATTACCAACTGAATTATATATGTTTAGGAAAAAGTTGCCCAATTTTTTTTTTCAATTACATCATATCGTGCATCTTTTATTTATTATTTATTCTATAATAAATTTTTATTATTAAT